CAGGGAAGTGTTTGGGCCCCACTGGGTCACAGCTTTGTTAAGTTACCCTGTTCCATGAGGTGTGCTCTTTTCTTCAGGTGTATGCAGTCTGGTCCAGCCTTCTTTCCTGTTGCTCTTTCAGGATTAGTTGTATTAATTATATTTTCATATTATATGTGGTTTTAGGAGGAGGTCTCTCTCTCACCTCTCACGCCACCATGTTTAATCCAATCTCTAACATTAGGATTATCTTGAAACTGTTGCCAGGAAATGCAATCCAGGGAGATCTCCCTGTATGCCAGGTGAGACCTCAACCTGAGAGAAGGTTCTTGATTGATCAGGAAAGAATTTATGAGCAGGACAAGCAGTTACAAGCAGAGAGTAGTTGAGTAAAGCAAAAGTAGATACTCAAAGAGGGAGTGCAGTCATGCTCCAGAGATAAGCAACCTCTGAACTCTATTTTGATATGAAATAAACATCATCAGGGATATTATCTGTGTCAAGATGAAGAAGTAAGACTATTATCTCATCTTATAAATCTGTTTTTAAGAATTGAACATATACAGTGTTAGAGTTTATGAGAAAGGTTTGAATTATATATATGAGAAAATGATCCACATTTCAGAATTGTCTCAGTTCTAACATGAAATACACACAAAAATATGAGTGTTTAATTGACCTGTTTAATATACTTTGAATAAAAATTAAATATTTTGAGCAAATTGATGAATAAGAACATGAACATAGAAAAAGTGTTTATTGTAATTCTATCCATTAAAAATATCATTGGTACTTAACTTTCTCTTCTAAACTTTTCATCTTAAAAGTGTAAATAAATATATAAATTGAATATTTTCATATCCGGCTCTATACCAGCAAGTGTGAGTCATTTCTGTGCTGAATCATTGTTAGATATCTCATTTGGTTTCTGACCAAGGAGATGTTCCAAAAATGTTATCTCAAAATGCTTGACTTTGGTGAGATATTACAGATCCTTCATTTATTGAGCTCTCTTTGAGAGTAACCATTTTTGCCATAAATGAATCTCTGCTCAGTGCAAGAGATTACAGGTAGCCAATGGTTGTCCCATTGAAGTTGTACTCATATCCTTGTACAATAAATTTTGACATTTAATTTCTTGTAAATTTAAATGTATGTGAAAATATAAACATTGTCCCTCTTGTTTAAAGAGATACTCTTTCCTGAGATCACTGTTACTTGGTGGAAAACCTTAGCTAATAGTAAGTTCCCAAGAAATATTGTTTAATGGTGTATTGCCAAGAACATCTTAGCTAATTCAACAAAACTGTCATCTTTAAAAAGCCTGCATATATTTCATTTTAATTGTACAATTGTTTATTGAGAGCTTGTTGACTGTTGGATGTGGTAGGGACCAAACAGAGTATATGACTTATAAAGAACTTATAATCATTTAGGAACAACAAAATAAATTCATAAGAAATGGCACAAAAAAAAACCCAGGAAAGAATATAATTTAGTGCCAACTTGGTAAATTAATATTTCTGTTGAGTCAGACAGTCATCAGTAATCTGTCTGCAGGACTCAGAGTCATAATCTAATTTTTGGTTACTTGATAAGTCAGTATAAATCTAGACTTATTTCATGTCTTCTGTACTTTTAAAAAATTTGATTATAGGAACCTTAACTTTTTAACACTAAAGTCAGCACATATTGTTGGACACAGTGTGTGCCAGCACACTTGTAGGCCTTGGCATTACAAATGTGAGCAAAATAGAGAGTCTCTGTTCTTAAAGAACTTACCTTTTTTGTGTGTATATGTGTGCTGGGGGTGAGGGCAGGGAGACAGTAAACATATGAAGAAATAAAAAGTCAATTTCAGATACTTATAAATATTACTGAGATGGTAAAGATGTTAGTGTGGGGGTGCTTTGACCGCTGTTGTCAGAGAGAGCAGCCTGTCTGAGGAACTAAGGTATGTGCACTGAGACCTAAACATAAGAGGGATCAATTATATATAGGCATGCAGATTTACAGTTTGGAGCTCAAGAGAGTAGTCTAGGTTGAAGATAGATGTTTGAACATCATCATTATGAACATGTTATTTAAAGCTATGTCGAGCACAGTTGAGAGTCAAGTAAGATGAGAGTTAAGGGTTGACCTTTGTCTTTAGTCAGATGTAAGTCACTAGTGACTTTGATGAGAGTTGTTTTTGTGGAAAAGTGAAGGAGTAAAGCCTTATTAGTAGATTGAAGAGAGAATGGGTCATGGAGGGTTCGGGGGGAGTGGTCAGGAACCAGACAGTAAGAATACACAAGTCTTTGAAGACTTACGCTATGAAGGAGAGGAAAATAGGGACAAGATCAAGTCTTTCCAAAAGATGGGTAATATTAAGGCATAATATTGTTATGCAGTAAGAATGATCTAGTAGAGAAAGTGATGGTGTAGCATAGAGACAGGGTAATTGCAGGATTGAAGCCTTTGAAAAGCTGAGATGGGATAGGATCCAGAGCATAAGTGGAAGGATGGCCTTGATAATAGGAAACTTCTGTCTACAAAAGACACTGTCAAGAGAAAAGACAGACCACATACTGGGAGAAAATATGTGCAGAAGACATATCTGATAAAGGACTATTATCCAAAATATACAAAGAACTCTTAAAAACTCAACAATAAGAAAAAAAAGGACCCAATTAAAAAATGAGCCAAAGGCATTACAAGTCAGGAGAGGGGTTATTCTTATGAGGGAGGGGTTTTTGACTGGGAGAAACTTGTGGAGGGCTTCTGGGTAGCTGGCAAGATTCCCTCTTTTCACCAAAGAAGGTATACAGATGGCAAATGAGCATATGAAAAGATGTTTCACACTGTATGTCGCCAGGGAAGTATAAACCAAAATAGCACTGAGATACTACTATTTGTTTATTAGAAAAGCCAAAATCAAGAGTAGTGAGACCACCAGATGAAAACGAGTATGTGGAGTAACAGGAAAGCTCATTCATTGCTGCAGGGAATGCGGAATGGTACAGCCACTTAAGAAGATAGTTTGTGGGTTCTTACAAAAATATGCTCTTATCAGATGAGCCAATAACTGCTCCTGGTATTCCCAAAGAAGTTAAAAACTATGTCCACATAAAAACCTGCACATGAATGTTTATAGTGACTTTACACATAATTGCCAAAACTTGGGAACAAACAAGATGTTGTTTAGTGAGCAAATGGACAAATAAACTGGGACACAGACAATTGAATATTATTCGCTGCTAAAGAGAAATGAGCCGTCAAACCATGAAAAGACCTGGAGAAACCTTAAGTGCATATTTACTAAGTGAAAAAGCCAATCTGAGAAGGCTATAAACTGTATGATTCGAACTATGTGATGTTCTGAAAAAGGCAAAACTGTGAAGACAGTACAAAAATCAGCAGTTGCCAAGGGATTAAGAGAGGGAGGGATGAAGAGGTGTTATACACAGGATTTTTAGAGTAGTGAAAATACTCAGTGTGATACTGTGATGATGGATACATGTTATTATACATTTGTCCAAACCCATAGAATATACAGCACCAAGAGAACGATAATGTAAACTATGTACTTTGGTGACAATGATGTGTCAGTTTAGGTTCATCAGTTGTAAAAAATGTAGTGCTGTGGTGGGGGATGTTGATAACGGAGGAGTTTATGCATACGTTGGGTCAGGGAGTATATGGGAAATCTCTTATCTTCTGCTCAATTTTGCCATAAACCTAAAACTTCCCTAAAAAGTAAAAAATTTAAATATTAAATAGCAGCAGCTGCTAGAAATCACAGAAAGGACTATAAGATATTATGAATCTTCTGATAACACCAAACCATGAAGTGTCTTGAAAAAAAACTGAACATATAGAAATAACTAATTAAGTCTTTTAATTCAGTTACCAATTTTCCAAGAAATTCAGGGGAAAGATTAACATGGTAATCTGTACAATAAGGATACAGTCAGCAAATCTAGATTATGGGAAACTTTACCAGACAAATGAAGTAGTGGTGTCTAGGAATGGTTTATCATTTTGATGATAAAACTATAAATTAAGGAAAGGAACCATAAAAGCCAAGACAGTGGTTATTCTTAGGAGGAAGGAGTTTTTGATTGGGAGAAAACATGGTGGAGGGCTCCTGGGTAGCTGAGAAGATTGTGTCTGTTCAAATGAGTTACGTAGAAGGGTGGTTGCCTTACAATTCATTAAGTTGTACATTTGTTGTATGTGGTTCTCTGGATTTGAGTTATATTTAATAATACTAAAGTACAACTTTTAAGTGAGGTTACAACATTTAAACTTAAAAATATTTTTTTAAAGTTAATTTTTAGCTTTCTTAGGAAATGGGGGCAGGAAGTGAGCAGTTAAAGACTTCAGTTGAGAGTGTAAGTAAGAGTTAGAAACAGCAACTAAGCCCATAAATCAAAGAATTAAGTGAATTCCACATGAAAGGACTGCTCAGCATTAATGAGGCACTTCAGCATGTCAAGTACATGTTCTTATCTGCACACTGTAACTATAATAAGTGGAATATACACTGAACATGTCTATTTACAATACACTTGATGTTTTTTAATGTGTTTTTACATGTTATTTAATAAAAGATTGTAAATGTATCTATGGTATTGATAATACATACTTAAATTCTCTGTATATAAAAACTGAATGTTTCTGTAAATAAAAAGTATTTAAGAATAATGCAATATTGGGGGGGAGTCTAGTAATGTTGCTCATGTAACATAATGCTCATGTTACATTAATTGGTAGATTAATGATACCAAAATTAAAAAAAAGAATATGCAATATATGTATGAATCGACCTTTACTGTAGATGTCAACGTATTTTTAAAGTAATTTCTCCCTTACAATTGAGATTCCTGTCCCTTATTTGTTTAAGGATATAATTTTTAATAGTTTAATAAAAATGGAGATAAACTGATTAGAAAATTTAAAAAAATGTTCATGATAGTTTCACAAGTTAAAGTAAATTAAAACTACTCTTCTTCTTCTTTTTTTTTTTCCCCTGTCAGAGGTCTCTTTATTAGTATCCATGATCGAGGGCATATTGCTTCAATTCTTAATGCATGGCCAGAAGATGTTGTCAAGGTAAGTTATGAAGTTTTTCCATTATGGCAAGTTTGTTCTTCTCCCTGTCCTGAAATATATTGACAGTTTTCATGACGTTAGGTAACATTCACTAGCTTTTGTCGTATATAGCTCCTAATTTATATCCCTTTGATTTTTGCATGGTGGACTAATTTTATTCTGCCACCACTTATATACTAAGCTTTCCCATTATTTCTAATTTCTTAGTATTTTCTTTATTCATTGTAAATGATGATAAATGTTTAAGTAGTGTCTGAATTTATTTTAAGCAAAGTCCTTTTTCATATCTGTAGTGTTTAATCATCCATTAAGAGGAATTCAGGGAGGTAAACAAAATCTGCTAATTCATTTCCTTTATAATCTAATTTCCCTTTATAATCTAATTTGAGTAAGCAAATGAAAATAAAATCACAATTATATCTGACATTTGGTAACCTCTTTACTTGGATTAGCTCATAATTGTCATGATAATTCAGTGAGGAAAGGAAACAGGTGGATTGCACAGTAGTGCCTAGGGGAGTGGAAATTGAATGCAGTCTTTAGAGCACTTGCTTTTTTTTTTTTTTAATGAAGGTATCATTGATACACAATCTTATGAAGGTTTCACATGAGCAACATTGTGGTTAGAACATTCATCCATATTATCAAGTCCCCCCGCCACCACCACAACCTGTTGCAGTCACTGTCCATCAGCATAGTAAGATGCTATAGAGTCATTACTTATCTTCTCTGTGCTATACTGTTTTCCGGTGACCCCCTACATTACATATGTTAATCATAATGTCCCTTAATCCCCTTCTTCCCCACACACCTTCCCCACCCCCTTTTCTCTTTGATAACTACTAGTCCCTTCTTGGACTCTGAGTCTGCTGCTGTTTTGTTCCTTCAGTTTTGCTTTGTTCTTATACTCCACAGATGAGTGAAATCATTTGGTACTTGTCTTTCTCTGCCTGGCTTATTTCACTGAGCATAATACCCTCTAGCTCTATCCATGTTGTTGCAAATGGTAGGATTTGTTTTCTTCTCATGGCTGAATAATATTCCTTGTGCATAAAGTACCACCTCTTCTTTATCCATTCATCCACTGATGGACACTTAGGTTGCTTCCATTTCTTGGTTATTGTAAATAATGCTGCAATAAACATAGGGTGTGAATGTCTTTTTGAATCTGGAATCTTGTTTTCTTCAGGTAAATTCCTAGGAGTGGAATTCTTGGGTCAAATGGTGTTTGTATTTTTAATTTTTTGAGGAACCTCCATATTTCTTTCCACAATGGTTGAACCAATTTACATTCCCACCAGCACTCTGCATCCTCTCCAGCATTTGTTGGTCTTTATCTTTTGGATGTTGACCATCCTAACTGGTGTGAGGTGATATCTCATTGTGTTTTTAATTTTCATTTCCCTCATAATTAGCAATGTGGAGCATCTTTTCATTTACCTGTTGGCCATCTGAATTTCTTCTTTGGAGAAGTGTCTGTTCAGATCCTCTGGCCATTTTTTAATCGGGTTATTTGCTTTTTGGGTGTTGAGGCATGTGAGCTCTTTATGTATTTTGGATGTTAACCTCTTACGTGATAAATTGTTTACAAATATATTCTCCCATACTGTAGGATGCCTTTTTGTTCTGCTGATGGTGTCCTTTGCTGTACAGAAGCTTTTAGATTGATATAGTCCTATTTTTCATTTTTGCTTTTGTTTCCCTTGCCCAAAGAGGTGTGTTCAGAAAAAGTTGCTCATGTTTACATTCAAGAGAGTTTTGCCTGTGCTTCCTTCTAAGAGTTTTATAGTTTCATGACTTACATTCAGGTCTTTGATCCATTTCGAATTTACTTTTGTGTATGGAGTCAGACAATAATCCAGTTCCATTTTTTTACATGTAGCTGTTCAGTTGCCAACACCAATTGTTGAAGACGCTGTCATTTTCCCATTGTATATCCATGGCTCCTTTAACATACATTAATTGACCCTATATGCTTGGGTTTATATCTGGGCTCTCTATTCTGTTCCATTGATCTATGGGTCTGTTCTTGTGCCAGTACCAAATTATTTTGATTACTGTGGCTTTGTAGTCAAGCTTGAAGTCAGGGAATGCAATCCCCCCAGCTTTGTTCTTCCTTCTCAGGATTGCTTTGACTATTCGGGGTCTTTTTTGGTTCTATATGAATTTTAGAACCATTTGTTCCAGTTCATTGAAAAATCCTGTTGGCATTTTCATAGGGATTGCATTGAATCTGTAGATTGCTTTAGGCAGGATGGCCATTTTGACAATATTAATTCTTCCTGTCTGTGAGCATGGGATGAACTTCCATTTTTCAGTGTCTTCTTTAATTTATCTCAGGAGTGTCTTGTAGTTTTCAAGGAATAGGTCTTTTACCTCCTTGGTTAGGTTTATTCCTAGGTATTTTATTCTTTTTGATGCAGTTGTGAATGGAGTTGTTTTCCTGATTTCTCTTTCTGCTAGTTCACCGTTAGTATATAGGAATGTAGCAGATTTCTGTGTATTGATTTTTATCCCACAACTTCGCTGAATTCAGCTATTCTATTAGTTTTGGATTGGATTTTTTACAGCTTTTTATGTACAATATCATGTCATCTACAAACAGTGACAGTTTGACTTCTTCCTTACCAGTCTGGTTGCCTTTTATTTTTTTGTGTTGTCTGATTGCCATGACAAGGACCTCCAGTACTATGTTGAATAGAAGTGGGGAGAGTGGGCATCCTTGTCTTATTCCCGATCTTAGAGGAAAGACTTTCAGCTTTTTGCTGTTATGTATGATGTTGGCTGTGGGTCTGGGCCTCAGTTTATTAAAACAAAAAAGAACAAACCAAAATACACAACAGCAATACAAACTTACCTATGTTTTCTGTAGAATTTTAATTTGTGATGTTCTAATTTTGCTTTATTTGAACCCTGGTTTAAAACAAACTCTTCAACTAAGCAAGGAAAATCTCTTTTAAAAAGTACCTGCGTAAAATATCAGTCAAGATTAAAGTAGAAAAGACAGGAAAATATCCTGTGAAATATCTAATATTCTTGTCAGCCCAGGAGGTTTGGGTTAGAGAGGAAATAAATATGGGCAGATTGTTAAAAAAGAGTATTTATAAAGATATCTGTTGCTGTGAACACTAAAGAGAATTTAAGTGAAATTGTTATTTATGTAGAAGGACACTTCCTTTGGCAGAAATATGTGTTATTCTTACAGATCGGCTCATAGTACTAATTGATTCTTCGCTGTTGAATGAGATTCTTGAGTAACATGTCATGGGCCCACAGTCGAGTTCTGACATGGAATTGTTAATACATTTTAATACAGATATCCTATATTCCATGTCCAACAATTGAATATAGTGCAAATGAGAAAGTACTCATCAGAGTACTTTGAAGTACAGATTTTAAAGTGACATTCTTATTAAATATTGATTCTTTCATTTTGTCTTCATGTATCATTTCTATATTACAGCAGGACTTAGAGTTTCTAACTTAATGGGGGAGCCCAGAGAGTATTCCAAGTCTAAATCTGTGGTTCATGTAATGCATTGTTGTTGATCAAAGTTTTATGTTTTCATAGTTTTTTTTAAAATTACTCTTCCTAGAGTTAGTCTTAGCCTTTTGTAGAGTTAGGTTTAGTCAACAAGTACTTTTATGCTGTACATAACCATGTTAAAGATTTATTGACAGAGCAAACAGACATAGCAATGAGTGGATTAGCTGACTAATTTTACTACATCAGCCTCCTGAGTCTAGTGACCAGAAGATAGAAAAATAAGAAAAAGAGATCCCCCAGTGTCTTTGGAGCACAAGTCCTCTGGCCAGGGATTATTTTTCTTTTCTGACTTTAGATGCCTTCCTAGCTGCCAGGAATGCTTTGTTGCAGAGTAGAAGACAGTGAAAAAGGTCACACACACACACACACACGCACACATACATCCAGGGAATTTCTTCCACTCTCTCTTACTCATAGAATCCCATTTTCCTTTTGTCACTCATCAAGCGAGAAATAATGGTTCTTCATGGATAGCTGTCTGCATCGAGTGCTCATGTCTGTTGCCATGCTGACTTTGAATTCTAGCAGGGAGATACCAGAGAAAAGTTAGGAAACTACTGCCATTTCAGTGTTACCATGAAATCTGTTTTCTTTTCCATTCTGCCTGCTAACATTTACCTTTCAGAGTCCACTCCATCCAGGGCTTTTCGTTGCATTCAGTGAGACAGACAGGATGGAATGTGCTCATTTCATCTTAACTTGATCCAGACCCTCTATAGTTAAGTTTTAAATACTGTTTATTATTAAAATTTTCAGACATAACATCATGAAAAATGTCATACATGTACAAAACCCCATTATCCATTATGCACCTTCACTGTTTATCAACATTTGGCCCATCTTATTTAATCTGAAACTTCCTATCACAGTCATGTGACTTTTAAGTGCAAAACCCAGATGACATTTCATTTTATGTGGTTAATTTCTATAGTTTTTGTGTTTATTTGAAAAGAATGTGTAATATTTAGTTACTTAGTGCTCTATGTCCATTATGTTAAGTTGTTGAACATGTTGATAAAAATATTTCATGTCCTTAGCTGATACATTTTTTTCTTATCCTGCTTGGTAGTTTTGTTATTCAAGTCCAATACATTTGGGTTACAAGGTAGTAAAGATGCTTTTCTTTTTTTTGATGATATTGAACTCTTTTTGTTCAAAGGAATTCTTTTAAGCTGTTATGGAAATTAGCATTAAAGAGCTTTAGTTCCATGTATGATAAACATATTATTTATTTGTGTGATATGTTTTTATCATGCCAGTACATTACATATTTGAGTTCTAGCTTGAAAATCTTAAAGGCTTAAAAAGTGCATTTTCATTTTTAACATTAGCCATCCTAATGGATGTGAAGTGGTATATTGTGGTTTTCATTTGCCTTTTTCTAATGACTAATGATATTGACCATCTTTTCATGCATTTATTGGAAATTTGTATATCTTCTTTGGAGAGATGT